TTTTTTTTTTCTGTTATTTTTGATTCTTCGTATGTGTGGCCTTACATGTATGTTTTTTATGACGATGAATTTTGTAAAAACTAATAAATGGTATTTGTTGCATATCATGGAACTACATTTTGGCGTAAGGACGCCGCCGCAGCTATTGTTTTGTGGTGCTTGACATGGGATCTTAAAGAGATGATCTTTCATAATGAGATGTTGGAGAGGGAGCGGGGGGAGAAGCGCATAAATTTGCATATTCAGAGTGAAATCCTTTATAAGGGCTCGACAACTGCACTAATTATTTTCCTTGGCACGGTGCGCCAACGTAGCGGGATGTCGGATCCATCGCCACATGAATGGGAGTTGAATCGCGAGAACATTCGTCCTCTTCGAGGCGGTAGAAAGGCCGATTGCCTCACGACAGTCGCTGTTGGTAAGCATTTCCTTCTTGTGATGCTCAGCTATGCTTCGCGCTGATTGTGCATAAGATATTGTTATAAGGAGGGTAGGTACGTCTAGGATGGAAGCAGATTACATCTGGCAGGGCGGGAAAGAATGAGCAGTAGCTGAGCATAACTGTGTTTCCAGTGAGGGTATCTGCGGCTGTGCTGCGCTGCATTTTGATCAGTTTTAATAGAAAGTTGTAATGGGAAAGAGTGGGAAAAAAAAGGAAAAAAAGAAGAAAAACTTAGCAGATAACTGTCGTTTTCGAGCCTCATCAGCCGTTGCAGTGAAGCCGTGCAGCGAGGCAAATACGATCTTTCTCGTACAAACTGCTATTTGAGTGGTGAGGTCAGTCCCACAGGTTTTGAATCGGTCCCCGGAGCATGCTTGTATTTAGCAAAACGCAGTACAGTATACCCTCAGGAGTTCGCTGAAATGCCGATGAGCGGCTTCTTAACTAGTTCAGACCAGAGCACTGGGTGATATAATCGTTTCAAGCCAATTGCAGGGGTGAGCGAGCAAAAATGTGAGGCACAAAAGCGTTTTGAGGGAACACTGGAGGCGGCCAAAAACTCGGACAATCCGCTCGACATGCTTCTCGATTATGTAACATGGTTTGAGCAGTCTTTCCCCACAGGTAACTTTTCGCTCTTTGTTGCTTGCTTTTTTGGACGGCCTGTTTGTTCCTGTACGTTTGAATGCCAGAATGCTTACATTTTGAGTTGCAGTAGAATCTGTAATATTGTGAGCTGACTGTTAAAAAACCGTTTATCCATGGAGTTTTTATTGATTGATTCCTCCGTAACAAATTCAACAACAGTGACGATTCGGCTACACGGTGCGGTAACATCAAAAAGAATCATTTTTTACTGGAAATTGTAACCAGCTGTTTCCCGGACGTATTCACTATTGCATCTAGAGTGACAGCCAATGTTAGCACATAATTTTACTGCTGAGAATCAGGTTTGACAACGTATAGATCTGGGCATAGGCAAATCTAGGGAGAGGGAGGTGATAGGCCTTTTGTCTCCCCCCTTCTCTCTCCCTCTGCCCCAGCGGCGCAGGTACAAGTGCTACAAAAGTAAGGGTCTAAAGGTAAAACTTCCTCTGGCGCTTCTGTCGTCTTGGTCTTCAAATCGGTTATTTCAGGGAAGCAGTCGCTTCTTTTCCCGATGCTAACGCGTATTATCAACCTGTTTGGCTCTCGGGAGCAGTTTTTAAATGACGAACGGATGTTGAAATTTTGGATTAAATTATCGGAGAATAAATCGGATATGAATATCGAAACGTTCTTTGAACGTGCTTACACTGCCGGATGCTGCCGCCGTTTGGCAAAATTTTATACCAAATGGGCTGAAGTAGGCATTTCACTGTGTTGCGTTTATAATTACTAGTTTTGAATGTCAGTGAATTTAAGTGTTTTAGAAATTTTTAAAATGCAAACTATGAATATTTCTGGCTAGAGGATTGGAAGAAGTTGGGGACCTGAAGTCTTCTATTTGTTAAAATACATGGTTTGTTTGGCACTGCCGGCCCGCCGTAGAGAGGAACACAGTCGAATTTTGACAGCTGTGGGAAGGCAGGAAGTGCCAATTTAGATCACCCAAATAAGCGAGCATCTATGTACATTCAGCTGTTATCCTGTCTGTATTTCACCCCTAAGCTGTAAACGCAGGCGGCAGAGTCGGTGCGGAATGGGATGGGGATCATCAGTACAGTACCCCATTCCGCCATGTTTAAACGAATATGTGGATTTTCGAAGGAAGATGAAGGAAGAAAGGAATGAAACAGAGGTGACTGTACAGAATAAAAACTCATTACATTTAATAGTGGAAATAGTGGATTTGCCATTTGTAATATCCTCTATAGATTAGATGCCTGGCACGATAATTATTGATGTCTTATTTCATAAAGCTGGCGGAGTTTTATGCCAAGGTTGCAGGAGGGAAAGGCTGGTGAGGTAATAACAGGGACGAGCTTCATGACTATGTAAATGCGACCATGACTGACTATATTGCCGTTGACTAGTAATACAGTTAGCAAAAGAAGTTAGGCATCGATTTAATGTACAAGCGCTATTAGCATTGAAATTCATTGCATTTTTATGCGTTTTTTGCAGCTATGCAATGCAAAAACGCATATTGACGAGGGGTTGTCTG